GCTGCAGTAGAATGGTAGATATAGAACTGTCCACACCCATTTTTTCGCAGTGTACATGATATGTGCATATCTTTGTTTTCATTAACACACACCAAATTACATCAGTTCTTGATATGAGTAGAACATTAATTACAACTCTCAAAAATAATAATTGCAATTCTCAAAAATAAGATCTTGTAAGACTAAAAATAAGATACTGTAAGATTGTCCTTACATTTCAGGAAAAATTTAATAAATAAAAATCTGGGTAATTATTTATTTACTCTTGCAATAAATCTGTGAACCAGAACCTTAGTTTTTTCCTACTTCCTTGAGAATTTCTTTGATTTTACTGTATTGTTAACAGTGGCTCCCAAGACACTGTTAATGATATTTTGTAATCTATTTGTTTTCAACCATATCAGTGATCAGTAAGGTGTGAATATGAGTCTAATTTGATTAGATTAACTAGCTATAATAATTAGCCATAGTTATGCAGTCTGTATATATGGTAATTACCTATATTGTTTATTTAGTATTTAAATAACAATTATCTTATCTGTATGGTATGATGATCAGACTTTTTCCTCTTATTATGCAATTTTATTTATCAAAATACCTGCTATAACCTCAAATTTTGGAATAACAGTATAGCATAAAAGATGGTATTATTTTCAAGTAAATGTGGTAATTGATGTTTTGAGGTATTAAAAAAATGCATTTGTAAAAAAAAAATAAATGACCTCTAAATTTATTAATAGCTTTCATGAACGATATAATATGCATTCATGAAAGTCAAATGATAAAAAAGGCTTTCCTAATATGACTTGTCTTTTTATAGTCAAAAACAGAGTATCATACATCTTATAGGTTATGGATTCAGCTAGATGTTACAGAATTATGGGTATCCCATGATATTTGACACTGGGATTGTAAGTGAAAGATCCTCACTTCTTGAAAATTACATTTTTAGAATGTTGCTGCTTAAAACTATTTTTTCTCTGCAGATCATAGGGAGGAGGGGGAGATAATGGCATGAAGAGAGATGTTCTTGAAACCATTCCTTAACCTTTTGTGCAGTGTAATATGAATTGTTAGAGTATATTTAAGGTTGCACTTTTGATTATTGCCAAGTTGTTATCGCCAAGTTTTTGTTACACTTATCGCCAAATTATTGTTTCATTTATGATAACCTGAGTAGTTGAATGTTATGGAAACCCTATTATGACGTAATTAGTTGCATGATTGCGGTAAATTTGAATGATGGGAAAAGATTTGTAAAGGCTTGTTGTGTTGGATGTTGGTTAGGAAGTACGTTGTTATTTTGTGGTTTACACAGTAAAATGGCTGAATGTGATTTAAGATTAATTTGAAGTTCCTGTATGATTTGGAACCTGTTTCTGTATGATGGAAAGGGAAAAAAGCATTAATTGACTGGTGTGTAAATGAAGGTTTACTTAGTAGCCATTATAAGTGCCCTGTTTGTACGAAGGAAATGCATATGGTCGAACGTCGGAAGATACTGCCACTATAGAGAATATTTTTTACTCTTATTTTTGTAAATTTATGTGCCGTCGCCAGTATACAGATTCTAGTTCAGATAATTTTAGGAAGTTTTGGGTGCTGTTAACTCTTTGTGGTGCACTATATTTTAAAATCGAAATTTCAAAAAAAAAAAAAAAAAGTTGTATGCAGTCTATCTAGGCCTAAAGGAGTATACAGGTAAAAATGTGTATAAATTGCACTTACTGTTTTAATTCTGTGGGTGTTCCATGAGGTGGAACACTGCGCCGCCAGAGGTTTTAAAAGTGCGACTAAGCGAGCATTGCAGTAAAGCACGGAAATGAGTAGGAGCGTTTTTATAGTAATAAAAAAACACTGTATTATGGCTATATACATGGTTTTTTGGATATACATAACATTATTGAATAAATATGGATAAATCAGATAAATATATGTTTATACACAAGTCCTATATATAAAGATATTTACAAATTTTTCGATTTCTTAGCTTTGTGAAATTGTTCAAAGCATGTCACACCTTTTTGATAGAAGCACAAACCAACTTTGCAGATTTTGAACATAAAACTTGTTTTGTGAGGCTTCTTGTTCTGTGCAACAAAATGTTTGGAATTCCAAGTAAAAAACGTGAGGCTGCGTAGAGGAGCCTGGGTAAGATGGATCATCAACCTTCTCATCAAATAAATGAGTTTCATCCGACATATCATCACAGGATTACTCAACTGGTTCAGGAGCATATATCTCAGTATCACTGCTATCTTCATGCTCTGATTCAGAATAAGAGGGTAATTCATGAAGCACTTTTAGCACTTCGGAAAGAGTTAGACCTCTCCGCGCCATTTCTGGAAAATTAATAATAAAAAATTAACTACAATTAATACTAACAATAAAGAAAATAAGCTATAAGATACATATACACAAAAAAATATCTACACAATCGCTGAAAATAAACGAGAATGAGTATAAAAAGTGACAGCAAAAAATTCACGCAGCTTTAAGTAAAAATGACACGAGCTACTGATAAAAATCCCGCCTGAAAATTACTCACAAAAATTTCAAGTTGACCATATTAGGGCTTTTAAAGCATAAACCACGCCTCACTCCTCAAGACTCCTTTGTTTGAATTCATTCCCCCAAAACAATGGAAATAGAAAACATATACAACAGATGTTGTGCTGCGTAATAGCATGAGATCGCTAAAGGTGCAGTGTTCCCGCTAATGGAACACCCCGTTTTATTCAATGATTCTGCACATGCTTTTTGTGTGAAAAATGTAAAAAAATATGTAACAAATAATATAGAGTACAGCCATCAAAATTATACAAAAATTGTTTTTCAAACTTTTTTTTTTTTTTTTTTTTTTTTTTTTTTTTTTTTGTATCACCAAAAAAATATAGAAAATTACTAGAAAATAAGTGGATTTTAAAAACACATCATAAATGAAAATTCTGTCTCTCCTTGTGAAAGAGAAGTTCGAAGTATATTATAAAGGCACTTTTATCCATTTATGGTTGAATTTAACGGTTTCAGAAGCGTTTCGGGTTGGGTGTTCCATGTAGTGGAACACTGAGCAACAAAGGGTTAAGGAATTTTGTTTGACTGAAGGCACGGAAATTTTTAAATAAGGTAAGTAGATATTTCCTTTGTGCAGTGCTAAGATGAATTTCCTGTTTTATGTTATTTCATTGTTTGATTTAAAATGTAGTTTATTGAGATTATATATTTTTTGTTGGCTGCTCCTTTGACGTTTTAAGTGAAAATAAAATGCTGTTTTCCTGGACAAAGGGAGTACACAATGCCAAGTTTGTGCAACCTCTGATGTTTTTTTAAGTGAAAACAAGTGTGTGTACATGTGTACATGGCTACCGAATTTTTACAATTCTTTGACTTGTTATTTCGGCTTTATATATTGGCAATTTTTGGCACAAAAATCACCGTTGCACAAAGTCAAAGAACTGCACAAACTCGGTGTCCATGTACCACCAAAAATCGCTAATTTTTGCCAAGGGGCTTCCGTAAATATATTTTTACCATATAAACATGTTGAAAGATGCCAGCTCAGGAAAATATGGCATTTACCATAGAGGAGTATATGTGGTGTGCTTCTTTATATTTGTTATATCCTTCTTTATCTACATGTTTTATGGTTACTAAACTCTTCTTCTCTTGAACTATGTTGCAGTTTTTTAATCAGATTTTAGTTCACATGTGATTTAACATTATGGGTGATTTGGTTGCCCTCAGTATTCAGGTTTATATTAATTGTCATTGGTTTTTCATGAATGATGGATCCAAGTTCTCTTCAAGAAAATAATCCATCATGTTGCTTTCTGTCTCTGGATTTGTACTGGAGAATATCCAGATAAAAAGTATCCTTTGGGTAATAAACCTATGAATAATTAACAAAAAATAAATACATAAGTGTTAAAGAATTCATAGAAATATAATCCAGTCAAAAGTTTTTAATTCGGACTCGTCAGGACTTCGGCAATTCCGGATTATGGATCATCAGTTTAAATCTATTAAGATGGTATGCAGCAATTATAAAATTAAAAATATGAAACCCTAATATATGAAATAAAGAGCAATTATGATCTAAAGGGTATCAAAATTTACAAAAAAAAAAAAAAAAAAAAAAAAAAAGCTTAATATTTATTTGTTTACTTTATTAAACATTTCTTTCAACGCACGCTTGCATAAATTGCATAAAGCATACATTACGTATAGTGAAATTAGAAAATTGCAACCAGAAAACTATTTGATGTGTGTTCGTGATATTTATAATGATGGGGAATTTGATTTAAATGATATCAAAGACGGAGTACATCGATATGAAATACTCATTTAGTAAGAAATTATAAGCCGAATAAAATAAAAACATTTGCACTGAAGATAAGGATAGTGCTGACAAATCAACTTCCAGTTCATTGCGCGCCGCAACGCCCCACTCCCTTCTGCAGATCAGCGTGAAATTGATAAACAGATTTCGGAATGGTTAGAGAAACAAGGAATATGCCTTTATCCATTTTTTGCAGCAGTACCACTTTTTGTTTGATGGACATCAAAACATGCTTTTGCTTTGTAGATCCTTTGGCAGCTCCAGAATCGGGTATTCTTTTTGACATAATCGAAAGTTCAAGCTTACTTTTATAAAATTGCTCTAACAATCTGCAAAAAATAATAATCCGGATCCATTTAGAAGATTAAGGAACAACGCAATCTGCAACATTAACTGAAATAGATAATTTTAGCTTAGCTTATACTGTCCATTATACATTAATGCGTAAACGTATTATGCGCATGCGTAAGCGCATAATGCGTTTATGCATGCTCAGAAAGTTAGTAGCTTTGAGGTCCGGATGAAAGATTTTTGACTGTAGTTCATTTGGAGAATTAAGACCATTATAAAAATATTTTTTTTATAATTATCAATACAATTGATTATATGTGCATTAAATTTCATGTGTATAAACTGACATTTCTCTTTCATTATATTTTAGAGAACCTGGTCACTGTGTTGATTTGAAACCACTTCCAAAAGAACCTGAAAATGATAAATGGAGGATTAAAATAAAGTCATCTAAAAGTTTGTATTCATCACAAATCATAATTTGTTTCTATTTTAATTATGATGTAATAAGTGATTGTGTAATTTTGGAAAGGCACAGCCATATTGTTATATTGGAATTTATACTGATATTTATCTTGTTTTTTTTAAAATTAGGAATAGTTGATTAAATACTCCTTAATAGCTGATAATTAATCTTCTAAAAATTAAAAAGTCAGCAGTATTTTCTATGTAACATCTTAAAAAGAATGATAAAGAAAGACATCAGGTACTTGGAAGTAGTGGGATCACAACAGTTAAATTCTGTCTATCAGGAATCATTCTATGGATATTCTAGATACCATGTATGCGTTTTATGATTACAAATGTTGTAATCATGATGAGAACATTTAGCTTTGGAACAAAATAATGCAGTTCTGGCCTACCATCTTTTAGCTCCATAGATGTTTCATTTGAAAAGAAAATTAAAAATAAAGGCTTTTAAAATGCATATGCAGTATTGTAATGATGTGTGGTAGAAGGCATTTGCCTTCTTATATAGCATGGTAAGCTGTTGAGAGTTTGGGTTTAACGAAAGTTTCCCACCACTGCAAATATCGTCTGTGGAAACAGTTCATGTTGGCTGTCAAATGATTTTTAGCATTTGAAATAAAGAGACTTGCTTTACAATACTGTATTGTCAAATTTGTAAAATAATGTCATTGCCATTAAGTACAAGGTGTCTGAATTGGAAATATCACACTACCAGATTAGGAACGTCATTTACCTCTTATTATGTTGCAAAAAGTCAGCTACAGAATGTTGCCAAATCATGTGTACAGTTTTAGTTATTAATATTGTATCATATGACACTGCGAAGGTTTGGTACTGAAAATTCAAAAACAAGGATTATGACATTCAAGAAGCAGAGTGCTCTGGCTGGCCTACTCATGTTGATAAAGCTTGCCTGCAAGAACTTATGGAACAAGATTAGTATGCAACCACTCGAGAGCTTGCTAAGAAGTTAGGCATTAGTGCCATATCCATTAGTCGTGTTATGCAGCACATAAACGACATCAAGTTCAATAGCTGGGTCCTGCATGAGCTGACTCAAGCAGATAATGACAGACGTGTTTGGGCCTGCAGTAATCTGCTCGAATAGCAATACAAGGACAAAATTCTGGACCAGATGGTCACTTGTGATGAAAAGTGGTTATACTTCTACAACATAGTCTGAAAAGGGGTTGGTCTGTGCTCAGTGAACCCTTCGGCAGCATCGGAAAATACAATTTGACTAAAAGATCATGCTTTGTATCAGGTGGGATTACCATGGTGTTATCTACAAAGAGTACCTGGAAAAGGTAAAACCCCCCTCACAGTAAGATGTACAGCAAGATGCTAGTCCGTGTTGATGCTGCTATTAAGGAAAAACATCGAACTGAGTTGCAGTGCAAAAAGGTAGTGTTCCATCAATATAATGCATATGTCTGCATTCACCAGATGGTCTCTGTACGGTCTCGAATGGAATCTTTTAATACAGCCACCATATAGCCCCGGCATTGCTCCTTGAAACTTCTACCTTTTTTCACACTACATCTTGCTGGTGCTATCTTCCATTTTGCTCAGAACAGCTGAAATGAGGTTGATTTATTTTTGGATACATGGCCGCCATGTTTCTGGGCCGAAGGCTTTGTAAAACTACTAAAACATTGGCAGAAAGTCATAGATTTGGGTGGTGATTACTACCCACACCTAATACTGCTTGTTTTTTTTTTTTTTACTTTATAAAGAACGTTTTTTGGGAGAAAACGGTCATTACAATCTTTCATTATTTTATATTTTAGCCCAAAACGAAGTTAACAGAATCCAGAAAACAGAATATTGCATTGAATCACTAAAAGTGTTGTATCACTCATCAAATTGTTGCCACCAAGTATTATCGCTCTTATTATTATGAACTTCTTGTATTATATTTTATGAAATTAAATTGCATGAATATATGTATGTTTCTTGTGTTGTGAAAAAGCAATACCTAGAGCCATCAAATTTTGAATAATGTAGTCCTCTACCTGAGTACCTGGAAGCCTGAATTTGGAATTTGTTTTATTTTCCATCTCATATTTTGTAAAACTTTTAACAAATTTATGTTAACAAACTCAATGAGTTCAAAGTGAGTAATTGCAATACAATATGAAAAAAAAATATCCCCAGCATGCAAGAATGTGTATCGGAAATTCTAAAGATATGGTGTTCATAAATATTTTTAACTCAAAGAGACATTAGCCTAGATGCTCTCAAAATGTGTATGTGTGTGTAAATGAAGAAAATGCCCTTTTAGGCATAGTATAAAATCTGAAAGTTTAATATTCTTTATTGCCAAAACAGGAAACAAAAACTTTTGACACTTCATGTTAAAATGTATGACATTATAATTTAAATTTAATGTAACATAACAACATTTCTCAATATCAATAAAAGAATTAACATGGCATTTATGTATTGCATCAATTATACTAAGCTGAAACAAAAAAGTCACCAACAGCAGCTGTTTATTTAAAATGCTGACATAAATGAAAAATTTTTGACACAGTTATGTCGCATGCAATCGCATGCTTTTTTCAGTGTCAGACTGTGACCTTATATAATAACTAGCAGCTAGGCTGCCAGCCATCATCTGGCTTTTAAATGTACCCTAAAAATGCCTGAAGTGAACACCAAACGTTGAATTAACTGCGCAGAATTTTACTTTGCAGAAAACTTCCCCCCCCAAAAAAAAAACACAAATTAAAAAAAAAAAAAAAAAAAAAAACACACACACACAAATTTAAAAAATATATATATTACATATAAAAAAATTAAACAACTTTCCATTGAAGAAAAAAAATCATGCGAAACTTTTGAATATCTCACAAACAGTGAAATAAGCAAAAAATAACATGAAAGAAACTCAAAAAACAAAAAATTCCGCTCAGAATTTTACTCTGCAGAACAACTTTATCAAAATAAATAAATAAATAAATAAATAAAAATGTATTATATATATAAAAAAAATATGATGAAAAATTGTTCCCAAACCCATGTTTCTAAAAGAATGAAACTATTCAAAATGATGCGATTTCATCAAAAATCTATCAACAACAATAAGAAAGGAAAATTGTTGCCAAAATCATATTTTTAAAGATGTGAGAAATGTACTCAGAAGCTTCATTTAAAATTTTTTAAAAAAATACAAGATATTATCATTTTTCCAAAATTCTTTTCATAAAAGCAGTTGATTAAAGAAAAATAAACTATACATTTTTAAAAATAAACTTTTTTAGAAAAAATCCCATTGAAAAATCTCACTTTGTTAAATAAATTCGTATTTAATCGATTTATTTGTTAAATAAATTCGTATTTAATCGATTTATTGAAACATGAAATTTATTTTTAAGTTCGTAAAATAGCTAAGTGCCTACGTTTCATGATTATGGGAAAATGGAGTGTGTAGAGTAAAATCTTGCTTTCGTATAGCCCATTATGTCTTAAAATGACGCGATTTCGTCACAAAACATAAAATTTAAAAAATTCAAATTCGAATTTCGAAATCTCTTCGAGGTGCACTGGCTCTTGTTTAGATGCACCTATGTACCAAATTTCGTAGCCATGGGTCTATTAACTTACGCACAGCGCAAACGAAAGACACACACACAGACAGACTCTTTCTTTTATTGTATGTAGAGATAATAATACGTTTAAAGTTTGGCAATGCTATTTTTATTTCATATTTTGTAAAACATAAAAATTTTTTTATTAACAAAGTCTACGTTTGAAAACTTTTGCAACACTTTTCGAAATAAACCAGACTTTTATCTCCAGCATGCAAGACTTTTGCCACTCGGAAAAATTAATGCAAAAATTATCATTATCCAAGTTTTTAATTAGTATCTCAGCTGATTAAAGTTGTTCGAAAATGAATAATGGTCAAAATGACTTCCCACAAATTTTTGGAATCTCTTTTGAAGCTCAACTCCCCGCCAATCCGGAGGAGATAATGCTACAAACAAACATACAGATGCGCACAGATTTTAATAGTATAGATATTTTTTTGTATTTGCCTTTGTTTTTTATATTTATTCTAGACTTAACAAAATGGTATCTTTTTTTTTTTTTTTTTTTTTTTTAAGATGTCTGTATTGTTAGGTTTGAGGCTGAGTAATGCCCCATTAGCAAAAAGGAACCACAATTTTTTTACATCTGTAAATTAAGAAATCTGTCCTATGCAGGAATTGTATTAATTTCAGCTCTTTCAAAAGTTTTTTTTTAAATAAATATTATTTTCATTCTAAAAAAGAAAAATGGTACAGCTGTTTCATTTGTAACCATTTTATAACCACAAGATTATGAATATCTGTCTCTTCTCTGAAGGGCAGGCCTATTCTTTTAAGTACCTAGCAGTTAATTGACATTAAATGTGCTAAACAAAGGCAACTGCAGCATAATTTCTACAATTATAAACATGATGATAAAAGAAGACCCATATAATCTCAGATAATTGTACTCAAATTATACTGAAACACATTGTACTAAAAATGACTTACTGCTATTGCATACGTAGATTGGAGCATAACACATTTCATTTAGATGGGATAGTGTGAGATTTGCTTTGCCTTTGCAGTCGTTATCGTCATCCAAAAGTTGAAGGAATGAAGTTATTATAATTATTTAAAAGTTTAACATTGCATCTATATGATTACTGTGATATTTATTACTAATTGTATGCTTATTACTGTATTATTTTTTTTCGATTTATTATAGTATTTTTTGAGTGTGTTGTGGAGCTGATTATTATAAAAATTTAATAATTTGTCACAAATTGTTAACACCTAATTTTGATGTTAATAATTAATTTTTAAATATTTTTCCTTATTCTATAATCCTGCTTGAAAAGAATGGTTAGTTATTTGAGTTATTAAAAAAACTTATTTTTATTTTAGAGGTAGGATCGTTTTCAGTACATATGTTCTATTAGTCATTCGATTCAGTCTGGTACAAGCCATCATCTACCATTTTAGATAGAGTGCCAGTTGTCTAAATATATAGAAATTGGGAGTCTGTAATAATTAAAATTGAAATGTGCTTATTTCCAGAACTGACCAGGTCTCTTAATAACCAGCTTAGTATGCTAAACATGGGTACTTTTACAGGAAAGCTGTATCACACATTTTAGAAACTATATTACACATTGTGAGGTCTGTAACATTTTTACAAATTAATTATTTTAATTTCTTAGCCTTTCTGTCGTTTCTTGTGTCTCTCGCATTTCCTCACCATAATGTAAATGAGTTAGGGTGGTTACCATAATGTAAATGAGTTAGAGTGTATTAGTGGAAAGATTAGTCAGAGCGTGTTTCGCTATTGAGTGTGCATATTGTTGTTTCTACCAGCTGTTTGAATTATGAATCTTGTCTTCATATTCTTGCCACTGTAGTTTAATATGCTTTTGCAGGTTTCTGAGTCAACTGTTAAGTTAATTTGTGTAGTCTAGTACTGTGTAGCTTATCGTTAAATTTAGTTTAGTTTATCATTATCTTTAGTTTTATTGCCTCAAGTAGATGGTGAATTTGTAAGCACAAAGACTCTGTAATTGAGTCCAATAAAATGGTCTTTTACACCCTTTCCCTGTTGTATTCATCTTCTAGGCTTAGTGATAAGTCGCTAACAGACTTTCAAGTAGATATAGTAGCAGTGTATGCTAGCCAAGAATACTAGACGTCACAATGCTTTGGCCTCTTTCTTTTCCCATACATTTGCTTAATACTAAATAAAATGCAGTGATTGGGAATAGCAACAAAGAAACATTCTCCAGTTTCATAACAAAATCCTATAAAAAAAAAGAAAAATTGTATGGGGAAAATATGGTGGCCTATGTTACTTTTTATTTTTGTGAATAACTGTCATCATCGTCCATATTTTTTTACATTCATTGATTTTGAAGTTAGGACAAGATAGCAAGAGAATGGAATATACTTACGTAATTTTTCCAGTCAACCATTGTGTTGTGATTCATTTGAAGTAAGCTTTGGTTTACAGAACTCAGTAAATGTTAACTCTTGAAACCATAGGTATACAAATCATGGCAGTAATGAAAGGAATGCATGATCTAATAAACCATATTTGTGTTCGAAACACTGCCCTTTTTTGTCCCGGCGTGACATAGACATTTTGACTAATATTATAGTCATTTTGACTTCCACTCGCATTTTGATTTCATAAGGTAGTTATTTAGTCTTTAGTTAGTTATTACAGTCTTTTCTTATGAGTAATATTTCTTTCTTGAAGAAATAAGATAGCTGTTTGTTTATCTCTTGGCAAATCCCAAATCATGAAATCCCTTAGGGGGGGAGGTAATAAATGTGGTTGCAGAAACTACGGTAATAAAGAAGGCAGTTATTGCCAGGAAAGAAAGCATAGCTGACTAGTGATATCTGGCACCAGAGAAGTATTCCAGAACAATAACAACAAAAAAGTACCCAGGGCTTTAATAGAAAAGCACCAACAATTGCACCAGAAGAATACATAGAGGAATGTTTTTAATTTCATTATTTAATTCATATTTACTGAATTTAATCCTTTAATTCTTTTATTTAATTAATTTTTAATTCATTTATGTAATTAATCTTTTCTTTTATAAAATTATTTTTTTAATTCTTACTAAGTCATTCTGCCAGGAATTACAGTGGATGGACAAAAATATGGAAACACCTTGTGAAATGCATGTTTGAAAAGAAAGATTGATTTTAATGAAATATGTAGGTGGCGCTGGCGTTTTTGACTACTGACGCCACCTATACAACTTCGTAAATGTGCTAAACAGTTCAGTTGTTGTCGGAGTACTGTTATGTGAGGTTGTCATTGCATTATGTCAGAGTTAACAGACTTCGAACGTGGGCAAATTGTTGGAGCACGTATGGTAGGTGCTTCCGTAAGCAAGGTAGCCGAGGTGTTTAGTGTTTCAAGAGGTACTGTATCGAAGATTTATTCCGCATATTTGAAAAGCGGAAAAAAACATCATCTGCTAAATCACAGCGCGGACGAAAGTGTGTCCTGAGTGATCGTGACAGACGATCATTAAGGGCAATTGTGACGAAAAATAAGAAGACCACAGCTGCAAAAGTTACTGCTGAAATGAATGTTGTGTTACCGAACCCTGTGAGTACCAAAACAATTAGAAGGGAGCTTCATAAACAGGGAATTGCTGGCCGTGCTGCAATTGAGAAGCCACTCATCAGTGATGCTAATGCCCGTAACAGGAAAAGGTGGTGTTTAAGTCATAAAGCCTGGACTATAGAGCAGTGGAAGCGAGTAATATGGTCTGACGAGTCTTCTTTCACATTGTTTCCCACTTCTGGCCGAGTTTACGTCTGGAGAACGCCATCTCAAGCCTATAATACAGACTGCTTGTTGCCAAGAGTGAAACATGGCGGGGGTTCTGTTATGGTTTGGGCAGCCATATCGTGGTTCTCTGCTAGCCCCATGATAACTGTGTCAGGGCACATGACTGCCAAGACTTATGTGAACATTTTGGCCGATCAAGTTCATCCCATGGTACAAACTTTGTTCCCCGATGGTGATGGTGTCTTCCAAGACGACAAAGCCCCTGTTCACACAGCTCACATTGTCCAGGACTGGTTTTCTGAGCACGAGGATGAGTTGTCCCATCTCCCCTGGCCACCACAGTCACCAGACCTGAATATTATCGAACCTTTGTGGTCTACATTGGAACGGAAAGTGCGTTCTCGTTATCCACCGCCAACATCGTTATCTGAACTTGCCACCGTTTTGCAGGAAGAATGGTATAATATTCCCTTGGCAAACATACAGGAACTGTATTTATCCATTCCGAGAAGACTGCAAGCTGTTTTGGATGCCAACGGGTTTCCTACACCATATTAAGCAAAGAAACATGTTTTTTTTAAAGGTGTTTCCATATTTTGTCCAACCCTGATTCATATTATTCTCAATTGGAGGTTTAGTATAAATTTAAAAAGAGAAATTGTTTAAGTTTTTTTTAATTTTCCTTTTGGCACCGCGCAGCAAATCGCGAACAAGGTATAATGATTCAATCCGAAAGGGGATGCATGGGTGTTTTCATAGTTTTCCCCATGTGTAACGTGTATACGAGCCAGTTTTCCTTAGAAAGCCCTCCACAAAGGCATCCCTCCCCTTAAGAAAATTAAGATATTGCTATAAAATGTAAGTTCTCATCAGGGATAATGAATTTAAAGAATACAAAGAGCAAAAAATGTCTGATAAGCTATTTTATGAGCATGTGGTTATGATTGAGACAACATGAGTTGTATATTTTGCAAGCATCTTTGTTTTCCAAAACAATTTGGAATTGGAGCAGGAAGTTCAGGTCTGTTTTCTTGTATGTGCTAAATTGGTTTAAATCCCAATGTTAATTGGAGAGGTTAAAATTCAATACGCCTTGACAGTTTGAATCCATATCTAAAGTCTTGTCATGCATCTTATATGTTGGCTGTGGTCAGTGGAATTTTACATTGACATTCAGCAGTTGGAAAGCAAACTCTTAAGTAACAAAATGATAGAACAATACCTTCTGTACTGTTCTTTTATTACATTCAGGTGTTCATGCTGTGGATTCAAACATATGATTTAGTCCAAACCTAAATCACATGTTTATCAATGAGGTAGGTTTGGAAGGTGTTTTAATTGATTGCATATTCATAATGTTTTTTAATCTTTTTTCTTTTTACAACAGAAGTAGGCAGTATAATATATCTTACAAAACAACCCCACTATCAATTTAGGGTGTTTAGAATGGGTCTCAAGTTAATTACTCTTTTGTTGTACAAATAGTTTAATTGAATTTATTAGCTAAGTTCATCTTTAATCATGCTCTAATATCCATATAACTTCTCATGATACTGCTGTTTCAAGGATTCTACCAATTATAAATATCATCTTGACACTTTGTATCTTCAGAATGTAGTAGATATGAGAAGTTGAAATGTAAACTTTATATTTCATTTTTAACTCCTCTTTCTGTACTTTATATCCAACCTAACATCATTTTTCTTTGCTTTTAAGCCTTGGAAGCATCCGTATGTGTGAAAAAATTTCCCAGTACTTAAACTCATGAATTGCTAGTTTTTGTACATCTTTAACTTTTAATGAATGACATATTTTTAAAATATTCTTTTCAATGTATTTTAGATGTGAAAGAAAAGAAAAAAGATCCTGATAAATTAGTCATATCACCACCTCTTAATTTTGAGCATACATTACATGTGGGATTTGACCCTGATACTGGAGAATTCACTGTAAGTTTATAATTCTTTAAACTGAGAGTTAACTTATAACTATATACTTTTATTTTATATAAAATTTAATTGTATTTTGTATAAATTTGGAAAAAATACTAAAAATTCAGACTTAACATTTGTTGTTGTAGTATAAATAATAAGTGTTAATAATGTGCATACTATATTTTAGTGTTAATATTAATTAAGCAGCAAGGAAAGTGTATGAAATAAAAGATTACATAAAATTAAACAACAATTTTCATTTAGCTGGTATTAAAACATTATTTTTGTGTAAGTCCATATTAACAGAATTCAATGCAGTGTTCACTAGCAAAATCAAAGCTTTCTGAACATAAATATATATATTTTTTGTAAAGTGTAATATTTCATGTATAAAACCAATCCTGAAATATATTTTGAAAAGATTTCATTAAATTTGTGTGAACTCTGTAAACACACATTAAAGATACAGTAATATGAAAACATTTTATTATTTTACAAATTTTTGGTATGATTTTTCCTTAAGCAAATATGAATAATATTTTATGTTTTTAATTTATAGAAACCAAAGCAAAATGTTATAGCTCATGATAATTCTACTAAGGCACAATAAATCAAGCACTTAACAAAAATTGATTGTAGAAAGTATGAACTAAAGGCTTATTATATAAGATTATATTATATAAAATTAAGAATTTCCTCTTAGTGGGGGTGTTAAATTTCTATCTCATATGACAAGATTAATTTTTTTTTTTTTTTTTTTAAATGAAAGAAAGAAGGTGCAGATTTTTACAGAAGTTCATTTATTTTATGTACATTAATGATGTTAGTGGTGAGAAAATTAAACTATTTGTACATACAGTCAACTTTATATTTAATATATATTAACTCTGTTCTCCATAAAGTGTTTATTTTAGAGGGAAGAGGGTTACATGAAAATTTGTAACATGTTCAAAAAATAATATCTGCTGCATAAAAAATCTCATTTAGCAAAACTGCAGTAATATGTAATGGTAATTAAGTAATCGTGTATTATTTTACAAAACTAATATTAATATTTTTTAAATACGGTAACTCATCTTTTAATATATTCTGTTTTTCAAATTTCTTGGAGCATATGACAAGGAAAAGAAAACGTAGAATAATAAACTTTTATAAGTATTGCTACAAAATATGCTAAAAATATATATGAAATCACAATTTTAAATGCATATATATATTATTCAATTAGCTGAATGGGAATGATTATTTTCATTAGCATTATTATAATAATATGATGTAGTAGTAGTATCTACGCATCTGTAATAAAATTCTTCTAAAATTTTTGAGAAATAGTCATTAGTTTATAATTTGAATATAAAATTTAAATATAAAAAAGGAAAAAATTATGCCTTAAGTAACAAAACAGAAATTTGATGAATCGCCCATATTTTTGAAAGAAGCAGTATTGTAAGAAAACAATCAGTGTCGTCAAAAATTACAAGCTAAGTAAAAAGAAATTCACTCTAACAAAATGTTTCGTACAGACATTTAAAATTGAATTTTCTACAGAGTTTGGATTTTGAAGAATAATTATGTGCATATTAGTCTTATTACCTTAATTTCCGGAAGAAAGGTCACATCAGCGTAGACGCCGCACTCGAGAAAAATGGCGGGAAAAAAATTAAAATTACACAGAAACGCCGCATCAGCGTAAACGCCGCAATAGATTAAATTGCACGTGACATCGTCGTGGGGCGTATAGATGCAAAAACTCAACCTAAGTCCTGATATATGACATACCTAAGTCCTGATATATGACCTAAGTCCTAAACCTAAGTCCTGATATATGACATAGTTAAGAAAAATGCATGAAATGAAACCATAACTCAAAAATAAATTAAAGGTAAGAAATGTATAGCTTCTGTGCTGTTTAGAGACATTTTCAAAAATTTTCCGCTCCCTTCTTACTTAAAAACTATCCAACAAGTGCTTGTATCCAAACTGATGGGATCTGTATTTGGCAGAATGCCAAGAAAAATCCATTCATGCTGAAGGGGAAATACGTCAGAGTTTGCAAGGCAGGTGGAATCGTGTCCGCCTTTGAAAAAAATTGCAGAAAAGGCAGGGGTGGGGAGAGGATGGGTCCTGGAAGATTCCTCGAATAGCAGAGAAGAGAGACTGTTCAAACTGATGAGAATGTTGATTTGAAAGGGGGCAGAATGTTATTGTTCTGAGATCTGGTTTAGGGTGAATAAGGCATGTAGGTCCGTTCAAGGGAAAGAATGTAAACAAAATAACGTTCGCAAAAAGCAACTGAGTGGTCTTTTGTGTGGGAATAGCACCAGTCTATGCATAATGACAAGGCCATCCAAACTATGTACAATGACCATCATAGGAAATATTTTATTTTTAGTGCACCTAAATGCAGCATGGGTAGAAACACCGCACCCGCTGAAAATTTAAGTTTTAAACACGTAAACGCCGCGGCGTTTCTTCCGGAAATTACGGTATATTGAAAACAAAATCTAAATTTCTTTGAAAGTTTGTAAGTATGAGGTGCAATAGCCAGTAATATAGATGATAATGTTAATAATTCACTTGTGTTCCAAATTCCTTGCTTCTTTTGTTTGAGTAAATGCAATTGATCCAATACAAGTTTCAGTCTAGTTTTGTACTCAAATCCTTCTTATCTGAGGATAATAAAATGTTAAATACACCAGTTTACTTAGTGTTGAATGAATTTGCTTCTGTATTCTTACTGATACGGCATCGCTCATCGCTTTAGATTTTTAATGTTAACGTTATACAAAATGAATAATATAATTTTACTCATAATTTCACTAAAATAACATGTCTAAGTATAAAATTCATAACATTGCCCCTTTACCAAGGACTGCATGTCCTAAGCAGTACAATCCCTGGACAGAAAGCCTTACTTATAACAATGGAAAATTAATACAATAATAACAATGAATTCAGTAGGCATCATAAAACAAATCATATACCAAATCAATTAATGAGTGCACAAATTTACAAATTTAGAAGCAAATAGGACCATTTGTCTTAGTATACTATTTACATTGTATACACTATGGGGACTACGTATTATCACCTTAGTAAGAAGCTAGCCTGTTGTAATGAGGTCTTAGAATTGGATGACTTACGGGTCCGAAAACTATGACATCTTTCAGTCTGTTTAAGGACCATCCCAAAACGACTGTAGTTTAAGGGAGAGTTCTTTCCTTTGAATCAGATTTCACAACCACACCTTATCATCTTCGTAGAATCGATGTCCTGTTGCTCTTGTGTCGTTTTGGGTTTTCATCTGCTCCTTTGCCAAGTTGACTTGCTCTCATGCAAAATTCAAACCATGCCTGGAGATTTTGCATGTACTCCTCAGGCGATGAAAGTGTAACCGGAGTGCAACCAAACATGAGATCACAAGGCAGATGAAGGTCATCTCTGATGGTAGTCTCTGCCACGCCTTCTGACTTCTCAGGTAAAGGTGTTGTTTGGGTTTTGTCTAAGCAAAATAGCTTGCAGAGCTGTTTAGTTATAGCCAAGGTAAAATTTCTTTCTTGATCAGAATGTAACTGAAGAGGCCCTCCAAACCTGGAAATCCAGTGCGGTATCATTACCTCTGCTCCCACTACAGCCTCTTGATCAGGAATAGGATATACTTCAGGCCACTTTGTGAAGTAATCAATGACAGCGAGAATGTATTTATTGCCATCAGCAGTTCGTGGCTGAGGTCCCAGGATGTCAAACGTGATGTATTCAAAAGGTGTTTCTACATTGCAATGGTCTAGCTTACCCCTCGGCTGCATTTCTTCAGTCCTTTTCTACCAGCACTGGCAGTGCAAGATTTGCACCACTTTTGTACATGTTCCCTTGCATTACTCCAGTAAAAGCATTCTCAATCTCTATGCAAAGTTTTCATTATTCCGAAGTGGCCTGATGTTGGACTGCTGTGTAGTTCCTTAAAGATATCCGGGATCTTGGGAGTATTAGCTGCTATCAGAAAGCCTTCCCATCATCCCATTCGAACTTCTGGTACAAGATGCTGTTTCAAACATGGACTGAGTCCCAGAGAGCCCAATATTATTTCGTCATAGGATTACAGATCAAAATGCCCTACCAGGTAGGTTTTCTATTTGAAGATTCCATTCAGTTATGGGTTTAATGTCACTGTCTTTCAACTAGTCTTCCCTGACTTCTTCATCAGCCCATTGGTCTAGGTCAGAAAAAGTTGGATTCGTAACTTGACGTATGACCAGATTAAGCAGCTCATATTTTGCATTGACTGTGAAACAATACTGGCAGCTTTCCGAGCAAGGTCTTCTAGACAGGACGTCAGTTTTCATGTGACGATCCCTTCTGATTGTGGATAGTTATGTCATATTCCTAGAGTCTCTGCATCCACCTCACTATTTGACCTTCGGGATTCTTGAAATTTAAGAGCCAGGTCAACAATGCATGATCTGTGTGGAGCAGAAATTTTCTGCCATAGAGATAATGATAGAAATGTTCTACGGCTTTAACTATGGTAAGCAACTCTTTATTTCTGATACAGTAATTCCTCTCCAGTTTAGATACACGCTTGCTCCAGTATGCCATGACATGTTTGCAACCATTTATTTCTTGAGACAGAATAGCACTAAAACTCGCATTGCTCACATCTGTGTCAAGAATAAATGGTTTTTCTTGCTGAAGATATGTTAGGATTGAAGCAGATGTAAAAGCTTCCTTCAGTTTGATAACTGCATCCTCACATTATTTTGTCCACAAGAACTTCTGCTTGCTTTCTGTCAGTTTCTGAAGGAGTCATGTAATATAAGAAAATTCCTTTACAAATCTCTTATAGTAGCTTCAAAGCTCTAGGAAACTTCTCAGGTGATGCAAATTTTCAGGGCATCTCCAGTCTTTAAATGCTGACACTTTTTCTGGATCCAAACATACTCCTTCGGCTGAGATGACATGTCGAAGGTAAGTCACTTCCTGTCTGAATAGTTTACATTTGGTGGGACTTGATTCTT